CTACTTCCATAGTGATACTGCCTCGGAAACCCAAGGAGGGGTCACTATGAGTTGGGGCCAATTTGACAGCATACAACAACAACAACATATTCAGTTATTAAGTCATTCGTTCAATATTTAGTGAGTTCTGTAGTGACAGTGAAGAATAAAATAGAATTTCTGCCCTGGAGGAGCTCATATAAAGGAAGATAAAGAGGCAATTAAAATTCAGTGTGGTAAGAGCTATGATGTAAGAGCTCTAGTGACACAATGGTTAAGCACTCAGCTGCTGACTGAAAGGTCAGTGGTTCTAACCCACCGGGTACTCTGCAGGAGAGAGATGTAACAGTTTGCTTCCATAAACACTACAGCCTTGAGAACTCTGTGGGGCAGTTCTACCATGTCCTATAGAGTTGCTATGAGTTGGAATCAACTCAACAGCACACAATAACAAGAGCTATGATGTTGGTAATTCAGAGTTCAGGGAAAGCTGATCAGAGAAAGGTTCTGAAATGTGGAAACTGAATTCTGGGTAGATGCAGGGGCTATCTACTTCAAAGAAACTCAGAGCCCTTGGAATTTGAAAGAGATTGAGTAATCTGGGACTGATTCAGCCATTAAAATGAAGTTTTACCCCTGTGTTCCAAAATTCCAGCCACCAACAGACAGCAGGGTTTTCAGTTCCGTGTTGCTGGAGATAAAAAGATACCAATGTCAATGGAATTCCACTGGTTAGGAGGAGATGTCATCTGCTGATCAGTCCCTCTTCCCTCATATCCCACACCTGAGCAGCCCAATGATACCCCAAGATCTGTGATCTTGTTTTGGGAGCAAAGCTCTTTTGCTATCTTGTCATCGGTGCCTCCAGGGCACATTATAAATACTTGTTGAACAGGTTCCCAACTCTGCAAATGGGCAGTGACCTTTAAGGGATGAAGAAGCAGAGTACTCAGAGGAGAATGTTGTTGTTGTTGTTGTTATGTGCCGTCGAGTCAAACCCGACTCATAGCGACCCCTCCTTGGGTTTCCGAGGCAGTATCACTACGGAAGTAGGATTGCCCAACCTTCCTTCCGAGGAGTGGCTGGTGGGTTTGAACCGCCAGCCCTCTGGTTAGCAGGCAAGTGTCTTAGCCACTATGCTACCAGAGCTCCCCGGAGGAGAATAGGGGAACCTAAAAGGAGTTTCTTAGTATAAACAAAGGAGCTCTAGTGGCATAGTACCTAAGGCATTTGAGGGCTAACCAGAAGGCTGGTGGTTCAAACCCACCAGCCACTCCTTGGAAGGAAGACTGGGCAATCTACTTCCATAAAGATTTACCACCTCGGAAACCCAAAGAAGGTTGCTATGAGTCAGAATCAACTTGATGGCAGTGAGTTTGGGTTTTGTTTTGTTTTGTTTTGTATAGAGCTGGAGCTCAGAAAATGGAAACTCTGAGTCCCTCAAAGGAAAGAGCAAGGAGTAGGGGACAGTGGAAGTATCCATCATTTTCTGAGTACCTATTAAATATCAGGCATTTCGTAACTCAAATAATCTTACAAGGTATGAAAGTAGTACATTCCATTTTATCTTTAAGCAAGTCAGAGAAGTTACCTAACTTGCCCAAGATGAACCAACTAGTAAGGTGGTAGAGCCAGGATTCAAACTTCCTTTATGCCAGAGTATCTCCCAGCAGGCATCCATACCCTGTCAACTTGATCACAAAACCTACTTATCAGATTACCAGATGAACCAAAGTTTCAGTGAATCTATCTGATAAACTGATCAGATATTCCTGCATTTTTCCACTTACTAGTTCTGTGGACTAGGGAAAGCTTTTCACACCTTTATAACTCAATTTCCTCAACTTTAAAAATGGTTTTAATATACATAAGTCATAGTATTTATTGTGTGAGAGAAATAAAATAATAAATGAAAATCACCTAGCATAATGCCAGGCACAAAATAATCATCCAATCAATATGCTAAGATTTTAACTAGCACAAGAACCATTTTAGGTTCAATTAGTAACTATTTGACAGGTTGACGTAGGGCATGTATTGCACCATGGCAAACTCCAGGGGGTACTATTCACAAAGAACCTCTTGTGGATGGCACCTCCTGGACTGAGAGAATACAAAGCCAAGGACCTAGGGAGAAAATAATCCAGAAAAAATGACAGCAGCCTGACTCTCCTGGGGATAATGATGCTGACAGCTCTGCCAACCAGGCATAGGAATGATTGCGGACAGCACTCAAAGGCCAAGCATCCTGGTGTTAGTGCCTTATGGGAAACTTCTGAAATGCTGAAGTGAGAGCTTCCAACCCAGCACAGAGCCTTAGCCCAGAACTCACTAGTTCTTGAGGCTGTTGATGCCAGCATAGAGGGCCTCATCATTCCACTCGATGGTTTTGATCTGATTGTTGGCCATGCCAGCAAAGGCATAGATGATGTGTGTGCAGAGACAAGGGTCCACATTCTCAGGCATGTAGCGTGCAATCCCAGGGCGGTACTGGCTCCAGTTTGTGAAGTAACAGACGATTTTGGTTGCTGTGCCTGGAATGTTGATGAAGTCAGAGATCAACCCTGTCCTGAATGATTTCCCAACTCCCAAAGTACCCTGGCACACCCCACCCTCACATGAAGCACTTACCCAGCTGCAGCAGGAGGGCCAGCCCTAAAAAAGAAAAGAGCCTTGGTTGGAGGGTGCCAGGATATTTTTCCCTGGCTGGAAAGGAGGAAGCCTAGGGCATCACTGGCTGGTAGATAGAGAATGGGAGCTGGGGTTTGTTGGCACTGTGCTCTATAAATGCTTCTCCAACATGGGCCCCTACATGAAGTTTTGGGAGAAGGTGCCTAGTGTAGGCATTCAATGAATGACATAACAACTCCGGTGATGATGACAGATAGCTCAGGAACAAACCCATTTTAAGTACTGGGTTCTAGAAGCAAAAAGGAAAACTAGGCAGAGGCTCTGTCTTTAAGAATATTACATCTAGTGGAAAAATAAAATCTATAAGCAAACAGGTGCAATTTAACGTGATAAGCTATAAGATTAAGATATTCAGAGTATTATGGAAAACAGTTATCATGGAAAATATCCCAAGACAGGTGATGTTTAGGCTGGGCTTCCTGTTCTCTGTCTAGGTTCCTCTGGAATTTGTTCTTGCTTATCTCTGTAAAAAGGAGCTCTGGTGGCACAGAATTGGGCTGCCACCCAAAAGGTAGGCAGCTCAAACCCACCAGCCACTCCACAGGAGAAAGATGAAACAGTCTGCTTCTGTAAAGATTCACAGCCTTAGAAACCCTATGAGGCAGTTCTACTCTGTCCTATAGTGTCACAATGAGTCACCATCAACTCAGTGGCAGTGGGTTTTTTCTGTTTGTTTGTTTATCTCTGTAATAACTCTTGCCATATTGAAAGATAATTGTTTATAGGTCTGACCACTAGACAATGAGCTTCTTGAAAGTAGGGACTGAGTTCCCACTACCCAGGGCAATGCCTGGCATACAGTCAACTCTTCATCAGTATTTGTTGAATGAATGGACTAAAGATAAAACAAATTGTTAGAAAAGGATGGAAGAGGCATTGCAGGTGGATAAAAGAGTTTTCAGAGAGATAGTCCCTTTACATTAAGGACTAGAACTCACTTTTTCCAGAACAAATGTCACTATAACTTTCAACTTAGATGATGTTTCTAAATTCTATTCCCTTCCTAGCCACCCAAACACACTCACTATGGGCTTTTGTGCCCAGCCCAGTGATGACTCTCATTGGGCTCCTCACAGCATGGTCATCATCTCTGGGGATAAGTCAGCACTTCAGGAACAGCATTAACTCTTTAAGATCTTTTCTTCCTCCCTCCCCAACCCCTCAGACCTGTCCCTAGACTACAACATTCAGAAAAACCTCAGCCTCATTCATTTTTTCTACTAATTGCTCCTGTTACTTTATTGGTCCTTGGTCAAGTCTATGCATGGAGCTCCTGCTCTGTGGCTAACAATGAGGATGAATCAGAGAATGTTAGAATTGGAAGGTCAAGTCCAAATCTTGCATCATTTTACATGTGGGGGGATGGCCTTGTCTTGGTCCATCAGAGTTATCTGTTTTCCCTTCATTATGGAGCCCTCAGATGCTCAGTGGGTCTCCCTTCCTTCCCCAATGTTATGGATTTAGCTGTGTCTTCAAAAAAAGATAGGCTGAAGTCCTAACATCTGGTACCTGTAAATGTGACCTGTTTGGAAATAGGGTATTTGAAAACATTGTCACTTAAGTTAACATGAGGTCGTACTGGAGTAAGATGGCTCCTAATCTACAAAAGAGAAAACACAGAGGGAAAGACAGAAGTATAGCCATATAAATATGCATTTAAAAAACCCAACTCATTGCCATTGAGTAGATTCCAACTCATAGTGACCTCCTTTGGATTTCCAAGGCAGTAAATCTTTACAGAAGTACATTGCCCAGTCTTCCTTCCACAGAACAACTGGTGGGTTTGAACCACCAACCTTCTAGTTAGCAGTCAAATGCCTTAGGCACTACCACCAGAGCTCTTCTACAAACCAGGAAATTCCTGGGGCTACAGAAGCTGAGACAAGAAAGGATGTTCCTCTAGAGACTTGGGAGAAAGCATGGCCATGCTGACATCTTGATTTGGACTTCTAGCCTCCAAAACTGTAAGAGAATAAATTTATATTCTTATAAATGACCCAATTAGTGCTATTTTGTTATGGCAGCCTTAGGAAACTAGTACATCCACTATGTTATGAACCCAAGGAGGCTGGAGAGAGTAAGGAGACAATGCAGGAGGCTTTGAAGTATGGGGAGTCAGGGAAGAGACAGTGAGCCAGAAGAGGAGAAAAAAACAGGTGCCCTGAAAGGCCAACAGGCTCTCCTGGAAAAGACTCACCAGCAAGAATCAACAGCTTGCCCATTTTGGTAGTAAGTCCTGAATCCGAGTTCTAGACCTGACTAGGCTTTCCCTGGCTTTTTATAGGGAGCATACCAAGCCTTCCTACTTATCACCTTGTTCCCTGCAGCAGGCAAGGTGGGGGCTCAGGAATAAAGGGGCATGGAGTAGCCTTTCATGTCTGAATCTTATCTGTGTTTTCCATCTTGGGTAATCAACCCAAGAACACAATGGAGACTGATGGGAACAGCCTCAAAATTGAACTGACTGTTGACTGAAGGTACATTTAGCAAAATGGCATATTTGGCACACGAATGAGGCTGGCGTAGGGGTCTAAAGTCATTGCAGGGTCACAACAAGCCCCACATGCCAAAAGAAACCAGCTGGATCCTCAGGGAGGAGCATGGACAAGGAAAATCAGGTGGCTACTAAGCTTTATTCCTGGGGAGACAATGATGAGGACGCCCTGCTCCTCCCTTCTCCTTGATTCAATTACTGTACTAGGTCTTGATTAGTAGCTGGAAGTTTGTGAAGGTCCATCAAGTTTGAGGTGAGAAATCATCATTTTTCAAGTTATTTCTGTTTAATTAAAAAGAACCCATGTGTCACAGTGGTTAAGCATTAGGCTGTTTGAACTCACCAGCTGCTCCATTGGAGAAAGATGTGGCAGTTTGCTTCCTTAACAATTTAAGGAAAACTTATGGGACAGTTCTACTGTCCTACTGGGTCACTATGAGTCAGAATTGACTTAACAGCAAATGGTTTAGTTTGAGTTTTCTGTTTAGTTGACTATTACTAAGTTCTTATAAAACTCCAAAGGAGATCTGGTGGTGTAGTGCCTAAGGCATTTGATTGCTAACCAGAAGACTGGAGGTTCAAACCCACCAGCCACTTCACGGAAGGAAGACTACTTCCGTAAAGATTTACCACTTCGGAAACCCAATGGGGGTCACTATGAATTGAAATCGACTCGATAGCAGTGAGTTTTTGTTTGTTTGTTTTAATAAAACTCCAAACCACCAGTTGCTGTTGTGTTGATTCTGACTTGTAGTAGCCCCATGTGTGTCAAATTAGAACTGTCCTTCATAGGGATTTAATGGCTGTGACCTTTCACAAGTAGTTGCCAGGTGTTTCTTCCAAGGGGTCTCTGGGTGTATTCAAATTGAACACTTTTGGTTTGTTGCTGAGCTCTTAACCATTTGCATCAACCAGGGACTGCACTCACTTCACATACAATGAAAAAAATTTTCCTGGGACAAAGACGTTTCTAATTAGGCTTTTATTTAGAAGATAAAAGAAGTAAGACAAAGGAGAAAGTTCTAGATATCCATATAAATTAGAGAACATGCCCTTGCAAAAATGCCCCTGAATCAAGCCTTTGAAAATTATGGTACCTAAGGGTCTGCCTCCCTCCCACCCCACCCCAAACACACACACACACTTCCAACCTTACTATTCACACAAAAAGGGAAATCACTGACAGACAGCCCACCAGGGGACCACATCACAGGTTTCCGGGCCATGTCTGAGAGGCCCCTGGCCCCAGAAGGCAATGAGAGGAGACAAAGAGTAGCCTGCTCTCCTCTAAAGAGTCCTGGATTTACCTTTGGCATTGACACAAGCCCCAGGGCACCACCCACACTGATGGAATCCCATCCAGGAGAGAGTGGTGCTGCTGGCTGCACTCCCAGTGCACCTTGAGAGGAAGTGTAGCTACACCGCCCACTCAGAGATCTCCAGGTGAATTTTCAAGATCTTCTGAAAGGTGCAGTATCCCTGGGTGGTACAAACGGTTAAGCACTTGGCTACTTACCAAAAAGTTGGTGGTTAGACCAAGAAAACCCTATGGAACAACTCTACTCTGTAACACATGGGGTCCCCATGCCTCAGAATTGACTCAACGACAATGGGTTCATGTCTTGGGTATCATCTCTCAGAGTCCCTGGGTGCCTAACCAAAAGGTTGGTGGCTCAAACCCACCCAGAGGGGCCTTGGAAGAAAGGTCTGGAGATCTGCTTCCGAAAGGTCATTAAAAAAACAAAAAACAAAAAAAACCACCTCACTGCCGTGGAGTCTTTTCTGACTCATAGCAACCCTTCCTTGGGTTTCCAAGGCAGTATCTCTATGGAAGTAGATTGCCCAACCTTCTTTCTGAGGAATGGCTGGTGGGTTTGAACTGCCAGCCTTCTGGTTAGCAGTCAAATGCCTTAGGCACTACACCATTGAAAACCCTATTGAGCATAGTTCTACTCTGACATCCATGATGTTACCATGAATCAAAATCAACTTGACAGCAACTGGTTGAGTTCTGAAAGGTGCTGTTCCTTGGTGACTTCTAGCCCAGATGCATCTGAGGGCAATCTGGGTCCACAAAGAACACAGGAGTGGATCAAAAAGACTTCAGTACAAGTATGGGGCAGTGGCGGGGGGTGGGGGGAAGGATGTTGCCCCAGGGCTGATGGGCACCCCCAGAGCTATTATCCACTATACTCCCCTGACTCTTTCCAGGTCAGTTTGGCATCAGTTTGAACACTTGGAGACTAACAAATATGAGGCAATGTCTAACTAGAATTGCACCACTCTTGAAAATAGTGTAGCAAGTAACATTCATTCAGCAATACAATGTGCCATGTGCTTCTCATGTTTCATTTAATTTAAACTCAAGCAACTCTTTGGGACAGATGCTACTATTACCATCTATTTTACAGATTAGGAAAACTGAGCGACAAAGAGATTAAGTAAACTTCCAACAGTCACACAACTGGTAAATTGCACTGCTGTGAGCCCAGCACAGGCAGCCTGACTCTGGGAGCCCCAGTTCTTAGCCACAATGTCCTACTGCCTCTCATCCCATCATACCATGCAACTCCAGGATGTGGTTCTTTTTTGATAGAAGACTGTTAGCCTTAAAAGTTCTCCTTAAAGTGGTTGTCTGGGGGAGGGGTGCTGACTAGGGTCCCTCCACAATCCCAGCCAAACAAGAGGTCCTAATTGCCTTAATCTTCTCCCGTATGTTTGCAAAGCAAATGGTTCTGTTCTCATAGCAGGTACAAGAGAAAGTCCCCTATATTTCAGGGCATGGAGCCCAAGACATAGCTCTTTCTTTAATGGGCAATTAGGCGTCATGCAATGCCAAGGTTAAAATGTTGGGCAGCTGTCCATACTTCATCTTGTGCCCCATTACAGCAGCAGGATAATAGGAGTAACTACAAACACTTCAATAATGTTCATGATATGCCAGGCACTAAATGCCTAAATGCTTTACAAATATTAACTTACTTAATGCTTACAAACTCTTGTGAGGTAGATACTCTTACTATCCGTATTTCACAGATGAGAAAACTGGAGCACAGAGACATTATGTAATTTGCCCAAAGTCGCTCAGTCAGTAAGTGTCAAAGCCGGAATGTGAACCCAGGCAGTCTGATTCCAGATTGTTTTCTTAATGACTTCACTACTTCTTCTTACGAATGTGGATTACCAGAAGAAGTAGATTTCGAGGTCAGGAAGATATCCCAAGCAAAGTAATATCTATCTTATAGTAAAAAGATCTGAGAACTGGGGTGGCATTTAAAGAGACTTTGGAGGCTAGCTTACCCGCAGTCTCCAATCAGTGCTTGCCACCCCCACTCTATTTCATGTATAACTGATACTTTCTCAGTCAGAAGTAAAGGGTTATTTTTTTAAAAAAAAAAGTTAAACCAAACTCATTGCTTCTGAGTTGATGCTGACTCATAGTGATGCTATAGGACAGAGTAGAACTGCCCCACAAAGTTTCCAAGGCTGTAACCTTTATAGAAGCAGATTGCCACATCTTTCTCCCATGGAGAGGCTGGCAGGTTTGAACTGCCGAACTTTGTTAGCAGCTGCGCACTTAACCACTGTGCCATCTGGGGTCCTTATTCAAAAGCAGTTTTAAAACAAATCCCTAGTATTCTCACCCTCACTTTCTTTCAGAACATATCTCCATCTCTAAGCCCCTCTGCCATAGAAATTCTGTTGCTACCACATTCTGAGATTTGATCTAGTTGTCACCACTTATTAGATGTGTGAATTTACATTTCCTGAGCCCCAATAAACTCATCTGTGTGGGGCTCACATTACCTAGTTTACAGATTACGAGTATTAAATATGTGCATGAAAGTGTTATTTCAGTCATTAGGATAAAAATAATTTTTCTAGAAGGAAAGGATTGGAAGGAAATTGGAAAAGTGGGAAGAACACAGTTCATCCTAAAATTAGGGTGTCTGAACTCAGAAATAATCTTAGATCTGAGCAAGTGGAGTCCCTGGCTTGGGCACCATGCTTTAAATCAGGGGGTGGTGAACTTTTCTATAAAGGGCCAGAAAGTAAATACTTTAGGCTTTGAGGGCCGTATGATCTGAAAAGTCTCAACTCCATAGGAGAAAGCAGCCATAGACATTTTGTAACAAACAAGATGTGACAGGGGGCTGGATTTAGCCCAGGGACATAGTTTGCTGACCTTTGCTTAGACGATTCCACTGTGGTCCTTCTCTAGCTATACTCTCCCGGTCAGGTGAGCAGACTGTAGAGCTGGGGCACATCCACCTGGAGCTCACACATCCTTCCCCTTCTAAACCATGATCCTGACACCCAGGACTCCTGGCCCAGATAGCCTGGGCCTACTTTCAGGGTCTGCATAGGCCTTTTCCTTGGGTTCAACCTGAGGGTAGACCATACCACTGATGGACACAGACTCAGTCCCAAGGCCCTTTGTGGGGACTGTAGACAATGTGTAGATGCAAAGACTGAGATGTCCACTATGTGTGAGCTGAAGGAGAGGAGAGAATTCTGGTGCAGAATTCTGAGGAGTCTGAGAAATCATAATTCAAGTCTTATTTTTTAGGTTGTTACAAAGGCATATTTTAACAGTTTATTAGCTCTTTTAAATATTCAAACATATGGTTCGCGAGCCTACATTGTACCCTCACCCTGGGCTCCACAAACAGGAGAGGCAGGACTGCCTCACACCACAAGGTAAAAGATTGCACAAATGAGGCCACGCTTGTTGAAGCAAAAAAATTGTCTTATTGTTCCACAGCACAAGTCATCAGCAGTTGCAGGAGCACAAAGCTTCGCCCAGATCAGGGTCTGAAAGAAAGATGGGAGAAAACTTAGAGGAGAGAGAACTTGAGGTCTGTCTGGCAAGGTGAATCCCACACAAGAATTCCTGGAGAATGAGTACGCAGCAAAGTCACTATGCCTGCTCAGCTACAGGTGAAGCCTAGAAACAAATGGAAGACTATTTCTTCATGGTAATCAGTAAGAAAATATATTTTAAAGAAAGTACACAACAGGAAAGGAGAAGGAAACTAAAAAGGCTCACTACAATAAACCAACAAAACATAAAAGCAAGCAGTGCTAAAGGACAAAGAAGCCTTTAACTAAAAAAAAACCTCACTGCTGTCAAGTCGAACCCGACTCATAGCAACCCCTCCTTGGGTTTCCAAGGCGGTATCACTATGGAAGTAGATTGTCCAACCTTTCTTCTGAGGAGTGCTGGTGGGTTTGAACCACCATCCTTCTGGTTAGCAGTCAAATGCCTTAGGCACTATGCCACCAGAGCTCTTTAGATACACAAAAAACAAGTAACAAAACAGCAGAAGTAAGTCACTTCTTATCAATATTTACAGTGAATATAAATGGATTAAATGGACCAATTAAATAGTATAGAGTAGAAGAACGGATTTAAAAAAACACTGTGATTCAACTATATGTTGTTTACAAGAGGCACATCTTGTAAATACAAGGACACGAATAGGTTGAAAGAAAAAGGGTAGGAAAAATAGTCCATGCAAATAATAAACAAAAGGGCTAGAGGGATGATCTTAATATCAAAGTAGACTTTAAGACAAAATCTGTCAGAAGAGATAAAGATAGACATTATATAGTGATAAAAGGGTCAATTAATCAAGAAGATTTAATAATTACAAGACATATACATACTCCACATTGGGGCACCTAAATATATAAAGCAAACACTGATAGAACTGAAGGGAGAAATAGATAGTAATGCTGCTGGTTAAAAATCCAGGCTCTCCTTGGCATGACTCTTTGTAGGTAATAACAAGAGCCTGCGGTGGGGGAACAGAAAGGCACTTTTATTTCTTTGGCCAAGGAAGGGAAGAGCCAGGGCTAGTTCCTCCAAGACTGCTCCAAGGAAGGCTCCTTCAAACTTCCCTTATATACAGTTTACAAAGCAGGAAGTCATACAAAATCATGGGTATTCGTACTTCTACATTCTACACAGGCACAGTTAGGGTTACATATGTTGTATTTATAAAAAATAGTGATTAAACTCTACCCAGAGTTGAAGAGGTTAATAATATTCATGAGGCATTTTATGACCTAAAGGTCACCTAGGATACTAAGATGGCTTACAAACTGACTCAAGCTAGTTTTGGCTAGCCCAGGGAGGTCAGGAGAAATAGGATGAGGGGCGGGGAAGTTGGTTCACTTAGCTGTCTTGCTAATCTTATAGGGCCAGTATGCTTAGTCTTAGTAATACAGTAATAGTTGGAGATTTCAATACACCACCTTCAATGTTGTACAGAATATCTAGAAAGATCCGCAAAGAAGCAGAAGACCTGAATGACACTCTAAGATGAGACTTAACAGACATATATAGAACTCTCTATCTAAAACTAGCAAAATACACTTCTAGTCCAGTGCACATGGATCACTCTCTAGGATAGACCATGTCTTAACTCACAAAGCAAGTCTTGATAAATTTTAAAAGATTGAAATCATACACAGTATTTTCTCGAAGCACAATGGAGTCAAGCTAGAAATCAATAACAAACAAACAACAACAACAACAAGAAAAAAGCCTGAAAAATACACAAATATATGGAAATAAAACAGCATACTATTAAACTACCAATGGGTGAAGGAAGCAATCAAAAGAGAAGTCACAAATTGCTTTGAGTCAAATGAAAATGAAAGCACAATATATCAAAACTTATGGGGTGCAGAGAGGGAGAATAGTTACATTGAAGAATGTAATCCATGTTACTGAATTGAATATATAGAAACTATTGAATTGGTGTATGTTTTGTTCGTCTATTCTCAACAACAACAACAACAAAATAAATGAAATTTGTTGTTGTTGTTGTTATGTGCCATCGAGTTGGACCCGACTCATAGCGACCCCTCCTTGGGTTTCCGAGGCAGTATCACTACGGAAGTAGATTGCCCCATCTTCCTTCCAAAAGTAAATTACCCAGTCTTGCTTCGGTGCAGTGGCTCGTGGGTTTGAACCACCAACCTTCTGGTTAGAGGTCAGATGCCTTAGGCAGTATGCTACCAGAACTCCTAAATGAAATTTAGGAAAAAATAAAAAAAGGAGAAATATTCCAAAGGCCAAGTCAGTAATCTAAGGCCTGAATCAAGTTAATGAACTATAGATCCTCAGAGTTAGAAGGGAGCTGCCCAATGGTCTAGTGAGGGAGTTTTCTCACTGTTCTGGGCCTCTTTCAGGACAGTCTCCTGTGCTGGAACCAATGGATCTCAGAATAGCTAGCTGATTAGCAATAGCTCTCCCATCCACAAGAGAGGATATATTCTCCACAAGGGGATATATAATGCACCTAGGGAAACTGAAACCCTAGGTTTGGAACAGCAGCAAAGTCACCTGGTTTCAAGGTAACAGGCAGGCTTTGGCAAGGGCTTATTAATATTGACCAGTGGGACTTCCCAAATGTAAGAACAACTGTGGTGGATGGAGGCAGCATTAGTAATGACTGAGATTGGGTTCCTCATTAGTCCAGCAGATTGAGACGTCAAATTTATTTCAATTTAGAAAATTAAATCAGGCTGAGGTTTTTGTAATTAAGAATTGTGGTGGAATCAATGTTTATCCCCATCATACCAAAACCAAAACCAAACTCACTGCCCTCAAGTTGTTTCTGACTCATAGCCACCCTCATTGGGTTTCCAAGGCTGTAAATCTTTATGGAAGTAGATTGCCCCATCTTCCTTCCACAGAGCAGCAGGTGAGTTTGAACTGCTGACCTACAGGTTACCAGTCAAGTGTCTTATCCACTACACCACCAGAGCTCCTAACTTGTAAAAAATTTCCTACATGTAAAAAAATGTCTTAGCTCAAGTATGTGTTTAGTAAGCCATAGTCAATTTTTAAAATTTCTATTATTTAAGAAGTCTATGGGATACCTCAGGAGCTCTGGTAGTATAGTGGCTAAAGCACTTGACTGCTAACCAGAAGGCTGGCGGTTCAAACCCACCAGCCACTCCTCGGAAGGAAGGTTGGGCAATCCTACTTCCGTAGTGATACTGCCTCGGAAACCCACGGAGGGGTCGCTATGAGTCGGGGCCGACTCGACGGCACATAACAACAACAACAACAACATGGGATACCTCCAGTACCATGAACAGAAGACATGGATGGTACCTGGCTACCACTACTGAATGTTTTGATCATGAACCCAATAGGTGGATCCTGATCAAAAGGAAGAAAAGCATGGAACAGAACTTCAAACTCATATGAAACCAGACTTACTGGATCCATTGAGACTGGGGGCGGGGGTGAGTCCCTCAAATCTAATGTCAAGAAATAATCTTTAAACCTTGAACTGAAATGATGTCATGAAGCTATCATTAAACTAACATTTCAGCCCAGTTAATAAAGAATGCCTCAATCATAACATTCTTATAAAGAATTATCTGTATGAGTGTAAATTGACAACAGTTAATCTGAGGTACAGAAGAAAACTTTAAGGGTCAGAGAACTTAAATCAGTGGTGATGAAACAATGTGGGTATAGAATGGTAATGCAATATGAAGTATGTAACCAATGTTATTGATCTATTTGTGTAGAAATTGTGAATGCATGTTGCTTGGTTGAGTATTTTTCTACCACCAACAAATACTTTTTTAAAAGAGAGAGATTAAAAAAAAAAAAAGTCTATGGGAGCCTACCAAACAGACAGAACCAGGCTAATTGATAAGGAAATAAAACTGAAAATCTAAACCGGCATAAGAAAGGATTGGCCCAAATATGTACAGATTATCTCTCCCAATCTCCTGTGCTGCTCCCTGCCCAGCTCTCCGACCATTCCCTGCCCATCCCCAGCCTTGACTCAGTTACCTTCATGGAGAGCCAAGACTTCTCTTGACAGCCTGGACAAGAGGGTAGTGGCCTTGCCCACAGGATTTTCCAGTGAAGTCATCCATGTCAATAGACCAGATCATAGCCCCTCCCAGGTTTAAATTCTTTAGAAACTGAACCTGGGGGAAGCACAAATGGACATATGTCAGGAGGTTAGAAAAAAAACAAACTCACTATCATCAAGTCAACTTGACTCATAGCACCCCCTCCTTGTGTTTCCGAGAGGGAATTTATACAGAAGTAGATTGCTCAATCTTCCTTCTGGGGAATGACTGATGGGCTTGAACCACCAGCCTGATGGTTAACAGTCAAATGCCTTAGGCACTAGGCCACCAGAGGATGTTAGAGGGTGCCCTTAAAGGCCTATTACCCAAGTCAGGTTCAGACGAGAATTTGCACTTACAGTGTGACAGTAGACCTACAGGTTAAAAGGATTTAGGGATTTCCTTAAGGGAAAGGTGAGCTAAGCTCAGGTTGCTCATGGATGCTTATGAGAGCAAGTGAAAACCACTCATTGTTAACCAGTTCCTGTCCTGGATCATGGAAGCACCACACCCTAGATCCAGGATTCTCAGAGGCTCTGAAAACTCTCCAGGATCAGAGGTAAAAACCAGAAGCCATGAGCAAGATAAGAGGCTTAGAGGTGTCAATTACACTGATGCCTCTCTCCTACCATAAGCCTACAAGACAAACAAATGTCTTAGAAAAGCCTAAGAACAGGTAGGCTCAGAAAGCTGGAGACTTCTACTAAGTAGTCCATGAGGACTGAAGGGCTTGTCCTCAGATGATTGTCAGGGTAGATGACCACCCTTTCTACAGGGTTGCTATGAGTTGGAATTGACTTGATGGCAGCAACATCTCTCTGTATATAGATAGATGAGGATGGATGATAGATAGATAGATAGATAGATGTTGTTGTTGTTATGTGCTGTTGAGTCAGACCTGACTCATAGAGACCCCTCCTTGGGTTTGTGAGGCGGTATCACTATGGAAGTAGATTGCCCAATCTTCCTTTTGAGGAGTGACTGGTGGGTTTGAACCATCAGCCTTCTGGTTAGCAGTAAAGTGCCTTAGGCACTACGCTACCAGAGCTCCTCCAGATAGATAGATAGATAGATAGATAGATAGATTAGATAGATAGATATAGATATGTCTCCTTTCCCAGAGACTGTGGTCCCAGGGTCTTCCCTTCAACAGAGAATCAGAGCATTTTACCAGACATCCCATTCCCCACCCGAAGGAGTATCTTCGTAGCCCCAGAGCCTCTTGCCTACCTACCTTGGTCTTCACACTTTCCACATCATCATAGCCCACCCACTGGTTTCCCTTGACTGCATAGGGAACTTGCTGATCCTGCATTCTTGTCACCTTGGCTCCTTGCAGGAACTGGCAGATCTAAGGAGGGGGGCAAACAAGGGATCAGTGATGGGCTTTTCTTGATACTTTTTGAAGTAGACACAGTAGATAATCCAATAGAGGGTTGGGGAAAATATTAGAACCTTTATTCCAGTGACCAGACAATGAGGGAAGTGACCCCATACAATACAGAATGAATGGTCCAAAGTGAATAACCAGTAATTGCTTATGCTAAAACCTCATCAGGATGAGTCATATTCTGATTAGAAATCAGAAAATACTTGAGTTCCAGATCATATTCTAGCACTGACTAATCAACCATCTCAGTTTTTCATTTGCAAAATGGATAAATTGTAATAATGAACTCATATATATATATATATATTCTTTCAAAAAAGAAAAGAGCTTGAATACAATAAAGTTCTCTACAAATGTAAAATATTATGATGACCATAACTATCGTTCCCTGCCTTGTAGACTATCCACACTTTAATCTCAACTGTGCTGTCCTATTCCCAACCAGCCCTGTTTGGGATGCTTCCATTCATCCCAGCTCCTTTCTTTTTCTATTAGCATAAGTAAAAGCAATTAAAAATGATAAATCTTCAGCAAAAAAAGCATTCCAGTATTACATAGAGAATTCATTTTGGAATGCTTTTTGTTTATTTATACCTGTGCTTACTTCCATTAGGGTGGAAAATAAAAACTTGAGTATTTAAGTAAATATCAATTTATCAAAGTTATAATTAAAGTGATAAATAGAACAATCAAATTAAACTTTCTGTGAGATGGGAAAATGAATACCCAGTAATCCATAGTAAAACCTGATGAATAGATCCTGATCAATGACCTAGCTTGACTCTTATATTAAGAATGTTATCACTAACCCACCTAGAACTACCAAAGTGTGAGTCAGCCTTTCTTCCTCTTTCCCTCCAATTTGTCAGGCACCCTCAGATTCAGCAAGGATGCTCACGATGACCCATCCCCCTTTCCCCTTGCCAATTGAATTGTTGGTGCTTCAGTCTTCCCCTGTATGAATGGTTAAAGCAGTATGATACCTTGGTTCTTCAGTGGATGCTAAATCACTCAGCATAGGTTTATGGTATGTTCACAGCCGTGACAAGAGGTAAAAATAGGTCTCAAGGGGATACCAGGAAGGGTCCCTGGATGTAGGAGGATATTTTCTCTACCTGATCAAACTCCTTCCCATCCTTCAAGGCCCAGAACAAATATCTCCTCCTCCATGGAGCCTTCTTTAGTCACCAATCTCTGAACTCCTAGACCTCTGTGCCACTCATGAGCCACTTAATCATATCTTATTTTGAAATGGCTCTGTAATTTTATTAAAAATTATAGTTACTTGTATTTAAATTTTTGTTTGACTAATTACATTTGTATTCTACATTCTTCCCATCTTGACAGTCAGCTCTTTGAGGCAATTATGGAGAATTATATCTGGCTCTCACAGCATCCAGTATTTGAGATATAGGAGTGACCCAAGAATGTCTGTTGATTGAATTGTTGGTTGATTTCCAGTGTTTCCTGTACCTTTTATTTATTTCCTTAGACTGAAGAGATAGTCTAATGAACTGAGCAACGTTGACAACTATATCTATAATGTCACTGACTTGGAATTGATTTGATGGCAGCATTTTTTTTTTTTTTTTTTAATCTGCCTACTGGGCAGAATCTGACACAAATGGTTGAGGGCCCAGGGAACTTCCAGGTACCTCGTAATAGGCCAGGAAGCCTGGAGACTTGGTGATGGGGCCAGCAGCTCCAGGCCCAGAGGCGGAGGAGACCATGGCAGTTTCTGCAGAGGCCAGTGTGAAGGTGCGCCCATACATGGGGATGCCCATGACCACCTTCTCTGCCGGCATTCCCTTATTTATCCAGTACCCTACAGCATATTCCTAGAAAAGGAAGATAAATTGAGGCACAGGGTGTGAGTGGCCATTCTTAATCCCCCCTCCAAACTCCACAGAGGTAATTCCTTATTCCCTTTCTGCATCAGTAGAGTACAGACAGTCCCACCAGGACCCGACTGCTTTATCCTAATGACTTAAAGCTATTTGGCACTAAGACACTAGTTCAGCTTTTTCCAGGTCATGAAAGAAAATTGAACCACAAAAGAAATCAGGCAAATGACCTAGAAAATGTGAAATCGAGGTTATCACTGTCTTTCTTTCCCATTTGTGTCAATTACCATGGAATTTGCCTACAGCACAGCAAATTGTGCTTATGGACAAAAATGGGGTGAGATGACTGTCAGATTCACCCTCTGAAGACTCACAAAGACCTTGGACCCAAGGAGTCATCAGGAGGTAAAAGACTAAGCTTTGGTCTTCCTGCCCTTCAGGACAGAATAAGGGGTTAAATAATAATCTATACTTAATCTTTAAAGATGGCCTGATGTTGAGGAAGGAATTAGGGATACTGATGAGACTTCACCATGTGGAATCCTAGAGAACCCCAGAACAGAGATAAAAAGATCCAATTTTGTATTGTCCAGTTCTGTCACTGTAAATCTGAAGGCAGGAAAAAATGCAACTCAGAAGACAATTTTTTTCCCTCCTGAAAATTTAGGAATACACAACCATATATATGTACCAAAACAATAAAAACAAAAACTGCTGAAGGTGAAGCATTTTTTGCTTAGACTTTCCATTTTCCACCATTTCCCAAGATTTTCACATCTATATGGGTGAACTTGAGTTGTCATTGAATTTGCTGGGCTTCTGTTTCATCCTCTTTAAGTGGGAGTAACATTTCCTGCTCACCTGACCTCATAGGGTTGTTCTGAAGATCCAATTAAATAGGAAATGTGGGTGGGCACTGGAGGATACCAAGTTCTTTATGCCTGCATGGTACCAGGAAATGTATTGAAAATACAGAATTAAGAAAAGACTGGAATGGGTGACATGCTGAGCCAGACAAAGCTTATGAGACTTCAGCTGCCAGGTCTTCTGACATCTTCCAAGTGGTATTTTACTGACATCTAATTAAAGCATTTTCCCAATACTCAGTAGCCCCCAAGGTCACCTGAGTTGCTCTTGGGGACCTCCTCATTTTGAGAAGGACATGGTCCTAGACGTGCAGAGCTCTCCTCAACTCCTCTTGAGCAGCCAGCATCCCACTATGTTTCTTTGTGCAACTCACCACATTGTAGTAGGAGCTTGTCCCTCTGTCTAGCTGCCCCTTTCTCAGAGGGCTGTTGTGGCCAGTGAAGAGGGGCTTTTCCCAAGATCCATGGAAGTCAAAGGACAGGAGGTTGATGAAATCTAGTGCTCTAAAGTGCCAAATAAAAAGGAGAAGCTGTAATGAGCAAGGGTAGAAACAATTGTATGTATCAGGTTTTGAGTGCATTTGTTGTTGTTGTTGTTATTTGCCGTCGAGTCGGCCCGACTCATAGTGACCCCTCCTTGAGTTTCCAAGGCAGTATAACTATGGAAGTAGGATTGCCCAACCTTCCTTCCTTGAGAAGTGGTATTTAGAGCATTGGAATTAGTCATGAGGAAGAACTTCCTGACTGAACCGGGTGGGGGGAGGGCAGTGACCTTCACGCTCTCCCTCCTCCTCTCATTCCTCAGGCATACTAATGTGCATCATTTGCCTGGACCAAGCTGGAGACAGAGGAATGGAGGAGGTGTTCCTATGCACTTACTTTGCCAGTTTCTCGATCTGATAGCTTTTATCAATAATCTGTCTCCCTGCAGACACTCCTGCAGTCAAGAGAAGCTTCTCTTTTCTGGATTTTACAAAATCCTTCTGAAAGGCTTCTGCGAACTCCTGTGAAAAACAAGGGGTCAGATTCTCTTCTCCTAAGTTACAGGGCTAAGATTCTTGTCTGGGGACTATGAAGTTTCTGGAACCACATTACGTGGAAGAGGTCAACCATTTCCTCCCTATCCCCAGATGGGAATGTGACTTATGCTTGTGTCTACCCAGGAATGTTCCACATTGGAGAGTCTGGAGGTGGACATCCCAGGAGAAGGGAGGCAGGAGGATGACCTAGCCTTGCTGAATCCATGAAAGTGAGGATGCCCAAGAAAGAATAACCTGGGTCTTCTCCTGATGTATCTTCTGAATCAAATCCCTCTTCTCTGAGGCTGTCTTAACACCCAGGAAATTCATTCTATGGCCCCATACTCTTTTATATGGTGTTGTTTTGGTATGATGTTGTTTGTCCCATAAGAGGGCTCTGTTACTTGTTGTTGTCTCTCCTCTTAACTGGGACCAGGGGCTTTTCCCCATCGAAGGGAGCTTCTTGAAGGAAAAGGCTCTCCTGTTGTGGCCATATTAAAGTCACTGAGTGTATTATGGAATTCGGCTTACCTGAATCAGCTCAGTGAAATGAGTACTGTCTTTTATATCTGGGTAGATCCAGCTTATGTCTAGCCCATCAAAGTTATGGCTCCTTAGAAATGGGATCACAGAGTTGATAAAGTCCAAGCGTGATATAGAAGAATCGACCATGGGGTGGAACCTGGGTGGAAGCAATACAGGAAAGAATAGGCAATCCTCATAACAGAACACTCTTTCACATAAACCTGAAATAATCTTTCCCTCCTCAATATTCTCTAGCCATTTATGTATCTCAATCTTCTTATCCATTTTAATACAGATGGGGAGAGAAAGGCAAGTAGAGTGGGATTATGGAAGACTTTTGGGCCAGATAATTGATTAGGTCATTTCATAGATTGAATTGTGTCCCTTGAAAGTTGTATTGAAGCCATCACCCCTGTATCTATGGAGCTCTGGTAGCATAGTGGCTAAGGCAGTTGACTGCTAACCAGAAGGATGGCAGTTCAAACCCACCAGCCACTCCTCGGAAGGAAGGTTGGGCAATCTACTTCCGTAGTGATAGTGTCTCAGAAACCCAAGGAAGGGTCACTGTGAGTCGGGTCCGACTTGATGGCACATAACAACAACAGCAACAACAATGATCTGTTTGGAAATATGGTTTTTCTTTTGTTATGTTAACAAGGTCATACCAGAGTAAGCAATATCACAATAAATGGAGAAGAAATTGAAATTCTCAAGAATTCATTTTGCTTGGATTCACAATCAATCCATGGAAGAAACAGTCAAGAAATCAGACGTCCTGTTGCACTGGGACAATCTGCTGCAAAAGACTTATTTAAAGTCTTACGAAGCAAAGATGTTACTTTGAAGACTAAGGTGAACCGACCCAAGATATGGTATTTTCAATAGTCTCATGTAGATGTGAAAGCTGGACAACGAATAAAGAAGGCCAAAAAAAGAGTTGATGCTTTTGAAATGTGGTATTAGCAAAAAATACTAAAAATACCATTGAAGGCTGGAAGAATGAACAAATCTTGTTCATTGAACAAGTGCAGTTGGAATGCTCTTTGGCAGTGAGAATGGCAAGACTTCGTCTCACCTACTTTGGTCATGTTGTCAGAAGGGATGATTCCCAGGAGAAGGGTATCAGATTTGGTAAAGTGGAGGGTCAACGAAAAAGGGGAAGGCCCTCAATGAGACAGATTGACACAGTGACTGCAACCATGGGCTTAAGTACAAAAAGGATTGTGAGCATGGCACAGAATCGGGCAGTGTTTCATTCTGTTGTATATAAGTTTGCTATGAGTCAGAGCTGACTTGACAGCATCTAACAACAACAACAACCAGAGTAAGGTGAGGCCTGAACCTAATGACTTCTGTGTATTACATATATTTTTTTTATATCCTGTTTAGCAGCTATCACAAAGCTTAGTGCTTATTTAACCATAATATACAAAAAAAAAAAAAAAAAAAAAAAAAAAAAAAACCTACTGCCATGGAGTTAATAATCCTGACTCATAGGGACCCTGTAAGGCAGAGTAAACTGCACCATTGGGTTTCCAAGGCTGTAAATATTTATGGAAGCAGACTGCCTTATCTTTCTCCTGTGGAGGGGCTGGTGGGTCTGAACCACCAACATTTTGGTTGGCAGCCAAATGCCTTCACCACTGCAGAACTCCTTAACAATAATAATATAAATGGTTATTGCAACCATTGAGCCCTTGTTGTGTACCAGCACTATGCTACAGTTTATATACACTGCCTGCCCTCACAGCATTACACTGAGGTAGTTTCTATCATCTTCATCACAGAGTTAAAGAAGACTGAGACTTAAAAAACTTGACTGAGATCATACAGCTTGCATATGACTAAAGGGAAAGCCAAACCAGATTTACCTATCTCCAAAACCCAACTTTTAATCACTAACCTGGCACTCAATTTATAAATAAGTCATTTACTGAATGGACGGATGCTGAAGAATATGTAAGAATGAATGATGAAGGCTTTTTTCAATTGAATAAAAGTCAAGCAAACATTAGGAAGAGGGGAGAATTTTGGAGTTATAATGATAGTTGCCATTGAAATCCATTCATCATTAAAAGGGTCATGCAGACCCCAGTAAGTCAGGTGTTGTTATGTGCCATCGAGTCGGACCTTACTCATAGCGACCCCTCCTTGGGTTTCTGAGGCAGTATCACTACAGAAGTAGATTGCCTAACCTTCCTTCCGAGGAGTGGCTTGTGGGTTTGAACTGCCAGCCTTCTGGTTAGCAGTCAAGTGCTTTAGGTACCATGCTACCAGAGCTCCTAATAAGTCAGGTACCCTAATCTTTCTTCCTTCTTTCTGTTGCAGAAATTGAATTGCTAAGTATTCTACAATTTTAGAACTGGTAGAGACTAGAAATACTACTAAAATTTCTAATACCATCCCCTTATTTCATAGATGAAAATATTCAGGATCAAAGAGGAGAAAAAAAAGGAAGAGTTGGTATTTATTGAATAATAATTCTGAGCCAAGTACACACCATACATTATCTCATTCAAAATCTTTGCAACCACCTTATGAAATAGCAACTGTTACATACATTTTGCAGATGGGTAAACTGATTTCAGAGAGGTTTGGTAACTTTCACTAGGTCACCCATTTAAATAGGCCTTCCAAAGCCTTGTTCTGTTCTCGGCCTACTTCAGCTGTAACTAAGTACTGACAAGCCCCACGAAGAAGCTGTACTATCAGCAGGCTTCTTTAGAAAACTGAAAGCCTCTGGTGGCTGAGTTTAAGCTCTCTGGATTTTTTTTTTTATGTTTGCATTTTTAAAAAATTAAAGCAGAAATAATTTGAAATTAGATTAATTGTAGTTAAAGAGTGTAAAGGAGTGCTTTTCATCTTTAGTTACTTTATTTAGCTCTTGATGTAAATGGTGTATCATTTTCCTATGCTAAAAACCAAACCAAACTCATTGCTGTCGAGTTGGATCCCACTCACAGCAACACCTCCTTGGGTTTCTGAGGTGGTATCTCTGTGGAAGTAGATTGCTCAATCTTCCTTCTGCAGAGTGGCTGGTGGGTTTGAACCACCAGCCTTCTGGTTAGCAGTCAAGTGCCTTAGGCACTATGCCACCAGAGCTCCTTTTCATATGCTAGGAATTATCATTTATAATGTATACTTCATGATGTTGTTGTTGTTATGTGCCATGGAGTCAGACCCGACTCATAACGACCCCTCCTTGGGTTTCCGAGGCAGTATCACTACGGAAGTAGATTGCCCCATCTTCCTTCTGTGTATACTTCATAGTAACGGCTATTTTACTTTTAAGCAAAGTGGACCTGTTTCCTATGGCATTCTGTGCTCTCTCTGGCATGAAGCTGCACAGCCATGACCCAGAGTTTCCAGAGCTATTAGACTACTGTTGGCCAATGGCCTGGTTTTAAAGTGAAAATAATCCACCCTCTTCCACCTGCATGGTACAAAGTCAAACCCTCAAGTGATTTTAAAAATTGTGTTTCCCAACTAAAATCACCTCCCCATAATCCACAAGGTAAAACATCTTCATGCAAATTATTGAGCATTTACTCAATTCTGCTCACCATCCAGTTTTTCCCAGGCCTTAAGTGTCTGGGCATGTGCTAAACTCCTGCAGAGTTCCTTCCAGGCACCAGAAAACCTAGTGCTGTTCCTCAGTTGGTGATAAAATTCAGATCAGTATTACCCTCTAGGCCTGGAAAAGACCCTTCAGAGCCTAATTCAATGTCTCTCCTCTAGAGGGGGAAAGGTGGTGATAATAAGAACTATTTGGGAGAATGAACAAAAAGTAGAGATTGTGGTCTTACCTTTTGGAACCAAACTCATTGCCTCCAATGGATAAGAGAATTTTCAGTTTGGGATTCCTGCAGTAGAAGAATAAGCTTATGATGATGATGATGACGATTTTACTGCTTACCAGGGAAAACTTTGCTTAGAGTACTGAGTTCCTGTTGTGAAAACGATTAACAAATGGACCCTGGCTATTTAGCAGCTGGGAGCTCTGGTAGCATAGTGGCTAAGACACTTGCCTGCTCACCAGACGGCTGGCGGTTCAAACCCACCAGCCACTCCTTGGAAGGAAGGTTGGGCAATCCTACTTCCATAGTGATACTGCCTTGGAAACCCAAGGAGGGGTCGCTATGAGTCGGGTTTGACTCGACAGCACATAACAACAACAACAACAATTTAGCAGCTAAGTTCGGTGAAAAGATGGAGCACTGGGGAGAAGAATTGAATAGATAGCATCAGGATTATATACCCCAAGGAAATAGATTTAAATGAATGAATAAATGAAGTAGTTGGTGGGTTGGCCTTAGGCCCCAGTATAAAACTAACTCCCCTCCCTAAAACCCATCCTAGATGCTCCCAGTCCCACCCTACTAACTCAGTTTTGATACTGTTGATGGTCTGGTAAAGCACTGCATTGCTTTTGTCCTTGATGATGATCTTGTTGTTACTGATGTCGGCGAATGAGTAGATGAGGTGAGAACATAGGAAAGGATCAAGATTCTCAGGGGTGAATTTTCCTGCTTCCTGCCGGTCCTGGGACCAGTTGGTAAAGTAGCAAACCAGTTTGTAGGCAGATCCTGGGGTAGAGTGAAGAAAAACAAAGGGATTCTAGTGCTGTTGCCTTAGAGCCTAGAAAACTGCAAGCATCTCCCCAAGACAGCCATTGTCTCCTTTGCTCATTCAGCCAAAGCCTTTTGGGTCATTCAGCCTGAGCCCTTAGTACTGGCTCTCGAGCACCTGAACTTCCAGTTAAGAAATACACCGAGAGAGAGATAACATCAATATGCAAAACACCACAGAGCACTGAGGTGCAATGTGTACGTGTGAATGAATGACACAGAGATAAGTAGAGAAACAGAGATAAGCTATATGTTATATATTTGTGTTCACATACATACACGCACAACACTAAGGTATATGTATGGGGAGAAAGAGACAGAGAGAGAAACAGATGCAAAATAAATTAGAGCAACAAATGCACAAGAGATAACAAACAAAATCTCAGACACAGATATATTAGTGTCAGAGAGTGATCAAGAGAGGAAAACAGAATGAACCAAAGACAGAAACAAAACATCAGACATGGAAGGACCCAGTCCCAGGAGGCCCAGGCAGAAGGAACTCATAGACTACTTACCTCCCTGAAGCAGCAGCAAGACCACTACACCTGTAGGAGATGGGTAGAAAAGGAAATCTGTTGAGTCATATCTGGTTCTTCTGTCCCAGACAATGGCAGTGGATATGTGGATGTGCCTACCTACAAGGTGAAGCCTCATTTCCTCTGGGCTCTCAGGCTATAGCTGCTGTGGTCTCTTTACAGGGCCATGAGGTCCCCAGTCCTTAGGTGCTTTAGGGCCCCTACATCCTAGGCAGAAACATTTTCCAAACTTGTATATAATTTGCTCATTCATTTATTTATCCAACAAACATTTATTGAATCACGTGCTCTGTGATTTGTCCTGGGCATTTGAGAAGCAAAAATGATGTTGACACCATCCTGTACTCAAGGAGCCCACATTCTAGCAGGGAGTTGTATAGGTTTATAAGTAGGGTAACCACATAGTTGATTGTCCAATGACAGCCTTTGGAGAGTGGAAGAGGAGCATTATTAATAATTACCCTGGGACAATAGCTTAAGTTAGAAGTATCTTAGGCAAATTGAGATGAATGTTTGAGGTCATGCCCGCCCTCTTCCCGACGGGACACCTCCCCTAGAAGGACTGATGAGATCATTCTATTCTTAATTCACTCTCCTAAAGGGAAAGAAAGAAGGACTCTGGGTCCCAGAAACTCCACCCAAGGGCCACAACTCCTGGGCCTGGGGCTGAAAATTGAGAAAAGGGCAGTTAAAAAGAATAAAGAACTTCACTTGACACACCTCCTGGAACTGTTGTCTCCTTCCCAGAACACAGGGCTAGGAAACAGGGTTCCAGGGTTCCTTCTTGCTGATTCACATATTTTTTAGGCAAAGGAAGAAATCTTTGGGTGGCACAAATGTTTAAGTGCTCAGCTACTAACTGAAAGGTTGTTGGTTCAAATTCACCCAGAGGCACCTTGGAAAAAAGGCCTGGTGATCTACTTTGAAAGATCACAATCATTGAAAACCCTGTAGATTATAGTTCTGCTCTGACACACATGGCTTCTCCATGACTCAGAATCAACTAGATAGCAACTAGGTTATTTTATTTTGCCTTTTCTGAGACAGGGGCCAGAGTAGACAGGAAACTGGTCCTCTATGCACCTGTTAAGTGATGAGGAGAAATTTTGATTGTCACATCTGCTGTTGGGTCAGGTTCTGGCACCCTTCCCCAAAATGCCTCATTACAGCACTGAACACTTTAATAGGAACATAAAAAGCTCTCCCCACTGCCAAGTGGGTGGCTCATGGTGTGAGTATAAGACAAAGTGAAAGAAGTAAGGATACAATGAAATGGTTTCTCTTTGTCTACTAGACACATACCTTTTCCTCCTGGTTAACTTCTCTTATTCACCCACAGCCAAAACCCAATCCTCTTGCTGTTGAGTTGATTCTGATTCATAGCAACCCAAGGTCGTATCCTTGATGAAAGGAGACTGCCACATCCTTTCCTGTGGAGCAGCTGGTGGGTTTGAGCTGCTGACCTTTTGGTTAACAGTCAAGTGCTTTAACCACTATGCCACCAGGACTCCTGGCTTTGTTTATTTATAGCTTCATCCCCACCCTCATCCAAATTCCCAGTCATTCTGAAAGCCAGAGTTTGGGATCAGAACTTTAGAGTTCAAAAGCAGATTTTAGAGAAAATTTAATCCAACAAACCATTTGCTGTGAGAAAGGTGAGGCTCCCCAAAAGTTCTAAAATGTACCCAAAGGATAGCACAGGAAAGATATGATTCATATCAATACTCATACATAAAGACAGCTTGGTCTCTGTCCTGTCTTGAGCTCCAGTTCTGAGGTGTCAAGAGGCACCTCTGTAAAAATGAGCTCATCCCAAATGTTCCAAGGGACTCTGCTCAGTACTGCTCCCTTGTCCAAATAGGAAAGATCAGATGGTTCACATAGGACAGTTGCACTAACTCAGCAGTTTTGGCTACTGAGGTGAACAGAGACTGAGTTCCCAAAAGAGGGATGAAATCACTTCTTCCAGAAATTTATCTATCTTACTACTTCCCTCTTCACTCACTTCCCTGTTGAATTATCAACCCCATGCTCACCTGCCCAGAGACACTTTCGGTCCATGATGGTTGCTCCCATATCTCTGGCCAGCTCCCTCTGGGATGCACATACTCTGGGCTTTTTATACTCTGAGGTTTCAACAACCTGTCCTAGGAGAAGGAAGCAAGAAGCTCAGGAGATTCCAGGGACTTTCCATAGCACAGCTGTTTGTGCAACTTCCTGGCAATGAGATCCAGGTTTAAGCAATGTCAGCTTTCACCTGTAAGAAAGATGCTTTAGGGACAGTTGTTGGAGGGTCCTTTCATCCAGTCCCACCATGAAGGGACCTAATCCCTGAGAAGAGAAAGAGGGGCTACTTGTGGCTCTGCCTCCTTGTATCACCCTCATGCCCCTGAATCTCCCTTTCCATCATCCAGGATCTGTCTTCTTTCCCCAGCCTCCCTCTGCACTCACATCACTTCTGGCCTGATTATTGTTGTTTTTAATTTTATTATGATTTGGGTGAAAGTTTATAGAGCAAATTCATCTTCCATATAGTAGTTCACATACACTTTGTGTCATGACATTGACTGTAATCTCCCACAATGCCACAGCTCTCCTCCCACTTCCTCCCCATAGCCACCTCTCCCCTGTGTCCTTCCCTCTCATGCACTCCTGCCCACCCCCCTCAAGTTGTCTCCCTGTGCATACACAGCCCTTCTATTCTCCCATGATTGATCTCTCCAAGGAGTGTATCTACCTAATGTAAATGTTCAGCTCATATGCTTGTCTTTTGTTTGGCTGGAAGTTACAGGAATGGGTTCAATTCCAGACCTGAAGGGCAGCTAGTGGCCAGTCTCAGGGGTTCTTCAGGCTCTCTCAGACCAACAAAACTGGTCCCTGTTTTTTTTTTTTTCTTTTATGATTTTGAGTTTTGTTCCACATTGTTTGGCCTGATTGTTCTTGATGATTTAGTCAGAAAGTCCTATCACTGCAGTTAGTCTAACCCAGCAGATATTCTTCATCTATCATCTTCTTATATCAGCTTCTCTGTGTAGCCTTTCTGGCTTCTCACCGAGGCAGGGTGAGCTGGTTCCTCTATTCTCAGAGATTTCTTTTTATATTTTCATTGCAACATTTACCACATTGTATTAGGATGGATTAGTGTATATGTCTATCTCCCCAACCTGACCGGGCCATTAAGTACAAGAATTATGTGAAACAGAAAGAGGGGAAACCATCATCAAATGTTTATTGAGGACATTTTTGTAACTTGTGAGAATTGAATTGTACTCCAGATTCAAAGATTCAGATTCTCAAGGCCCTGCATGATCTGGTCCTTCCCTATCTCTCTCCAATTTCCTTTCATAAAGCTCTGGGTGTGTGTGTATGTTTGTGTGTGTCTGAGTCTTTCTGTGTGTCTTTGTCTCTCTGTTTTTGTTCTTGCACTATAAACTAGTCTAACAAGTCTTCTTTCATGTCTTGAACCTTCTCACATTCTGTTTCCCATAACGTGTAAGTCACTTGGGAGAGGAAAATGATCTGTGTCTATTTTAAATCCCACCCAAGGAAGACCAAGGAGTTCCTAACAGAGAAAATTTGCTGTTCGGATGGATATACCAGAAAAGCCGGAGCTGGTGGGGAGAGCAGTGGCTAGAGAAAAATGTATTACAGTTGATTGCTTTCCTTGTGTGTGTCAGTGTGCATGTGGAGAGGGTGATTGTGAAGAACTCACCCATGCTTCTAGGGAAAAATGTCAGCTTTAAACATTTGCCATGCCCAGCAAGCATGAAAATGTAATGCTTGCTTTATGACACCACCTTTCCACACTTCTCTCCTTGTGTTGACTAGGAAATCATAAGAGCAAGATGGGAAAGCATAGGTCAAGGAAAGGGAAAAGAAAGACAAGTGGCAAATGGATCTCATACAATAATGTCCATTTGTGATTGCCTAATTTCACTCAGCATAATGTCCTCTAGGTTCATCTCTGTTATGAGGTATTCTGCATATTCATCATTATTCTTTAACATTGTATAGTATTCCATTGTGTGTATGTACCATAGTTTGTTTATCCATTCGTCTGTTGATGGGCACTTAGGTTGTTTCTGTCTTTGCTATTGGGAATAATGTTACAATGAACATGGGTGTGCATATATCTGTTGGTGTCATGGCTCTTATTTCTCTAGGATATAGACCTAATAGTGGGGTTGCTGGATCATACGGTATTTCTATTTCCAGCTTCTTAAGGAAGTGCCACACTGCTTTCCACAGTGGTGGTACTACTTTACAATCCCACCAGCAGGATATAAGTGTTCCAGTCTCTCCACAACTTTGCCATCATTTGTTGTTTTCATTTTTTGAACTTCATTATTAATCCTGGGGTAACATAATGTATCATTATTATTTTGATTTATATCGCACTAATGAGCTCTAGTAGCGTAGTGCCTAAGGCACTTGACTGCTAATCAGAAGGCTGACGGTTCAAACCCACCAGCCACTCCTCGGAAGGAAGAAGGGGCAATCTACTTCCATAGTGATACTGCCTCAGAAACCCAAGGAGGGGTCGCTATGAGTCGGGTCTGACTCGACGGCACACAACAACAACAACAACGACTAAAGATCGTGAGCATTTCTTCACAGATTTGTTAGCCACCTAAATGTCTTCTTTGGTGAACTATCTGTTCATGTCCTCTATCCATATTTTAGTTGGATTGCTTATTTTGTTGTTGTTGTTGTTTTGAGATGTTGAAGTCATCTATGAATTTTGGAGATTAGTCCCTTCTCCAATATTTTTTTCTGCCCCCAATTTTTCTGCAAAATTTTTTTTCTCAGTTGGTAGGTTCCTTTTTGACAAACTGTCTTGATGCGCATAAATATTTAACCGTTAGGAGGTCCAAGTCATCTAGTTTGGCTTCTGCTGTTTGTGCATTTTTAGTTATATTTGGTAGTGTATTTATTTATGTCATGTCCTAGGGCCCCTAAGTTTGCCCCTCTTTTTCCTTTGATGATTTTTAGGTTTGGGGTTTTACATTTAGGTCTTTGACCCATTTTGAGTTAGATTTTGTATATGGTGTGAGATATTCATCCTGTTTCATTTTTCTGTAAACAGACATCCAGTTTTGCCAGCACTATTTGTTAAAGAAACTATCTCTTCCCCATTTAATGGGTTTTGTCCAAGCCACTAATTCTGAGGTCATTTATTATTCAGTACAAGCTAATAGATACAGGATAATAAGCATAGACATTTTATAAATCTTTAGCACTTGCAAAGTCTGAAATCCTTATCCTTTTATAGTTTCTCTTATTTCTACTGGTTCTTCTTTAAGGGGTTTTCTTCCTTTTATGGTTGGTTATATCTGGTGGTGTAGTGCCTAAGGCACTTGACTGCTAACCAGAAGGCTAGCGGTTCAAACCCAGCAGCCACTCCTTGGAAGGAAAATTGGGCAATCTACTTCCATAGTGATACTGCCTTGGAAACCCAAGGGTTGCTGTGAGTCAGATCCAACTCCACAGCAGTGAGTTTGGTTTTTTATATTTGACCATGTGCTTGTCATTGCTCTTGAAAACCTAATTTATGGAGATTTCTCAAGGCCAAGAATAAATGTGTTATCCTCTAGATCAAGTACTTTGCTTCTGCCAGAAATCTGGGGCTCTACCAGTTAGAGATCACCCCAACCCACATTCACAGCTTGATGTTACTTGATTGACTTTACTAGTCATATAGGGAATGAAAATCTACCCACTCCTTTATCTAGCTTATCTTTTTTTTTTTTTTTCTCAGTGCAAAGTCAGCCTTCCCTACAGGCTCCTAGGTTGGAAAGAGGAGAGTCTTATCCTGATATGTTCTTTATTATTTATCTATTTTTAACTTTATATTGTGATTTGGGTGAAATTTTACAAAGCTGATTTTGTTTTACATTCAACAGTTCATATACACATTTTGTTTTGTGATACTGGTTATACTCCCTGCAGTGTAATATCTCACCTCCCACTTCCTCCCTGTGGTTACCCTTTCCTTGCGTCCTCACCTAATTCTTTTAAATTTATTTTTCACATTTTAATCTTATTCCTATGTGAAATTTATTTTTTAAAATGCATGTGGCTCAACCTTTTCTTTTTTTTTCTAAATAGCTATCTAGATGTCTGGATATCACTTCTTAAAGGTTCATGTTTTCCCTCCCAATTTGAATTGCCACATTTAATGATATGGATTCCTCTATGTATTTGGTTCAGTTTTTTTTATTCTCTGCCTTTGTATTCTGTTCATTGATTATCTGTGCATTTAATGTTATTGTACATTTTATATATACTTTTGTTTCTGCTTTTTAAAATTTCACATTATATCACTGAGAACATTTTCTTGTGTAGGGGATGACATCTAAAAGGGGCCCTCCCAAATAAATTAGATGTGGTGACACAAAAAAAAAAAAAAAAAAGCAATTGCTTTTGAGCTGATTTCAACTCATAGTAACCCTATAGGACAGAGTAGAACTGCCCCACGGGGTTTTCAAGATTGTACTATCTATGGAAACTGACTGTCACATCTTTCTCCCATGAAGCGGCTGGTGGGTTCAAACCACTGACAGTTTACAGCTGAGTGGCTTAACCACTGCATCACCAGGGATCCTTATAGTCCCAAAATGATACAATAAAATAAATTGTTACATTAAGTCATTTGGTTTGGTTATCTAATCAGAGAATATTGAAGCTAATAAGAACCTTAGAGTTCATCAGGCCATTTTGCAGATGACCAGAGGGTATACCCTAGGGCAATGGTTTTCAAATGGTGGTCCTTGGACCAGTGCTATGCCTGCTGTAGTCAGAGGTAAGAACCCTGGGATAAGCTAAAGTTTGACCCCATCCTGAGATAATCACATTTGCTGAGTTGGAACCTAATAAAGCAAGGGGCTTAGTACAATACATTTCAATAGGTTCTAAAGGAGGAAAAAATATAGTTACTAACTCAAAGTTGGGTCAGAAATGGGCTTTAGGGATTTCCTTGAGGAGGAAATGTAGACCCAGTTTTGCTAGAAGAAGGACATTAACATGAAGAATGGTTATTAAACTGAGGCACTGTCACGTCTCAGGATAAAACCTTG